TTTTTGATAGTGTTTGTGTTATTATATCTAATAATTGTAACTAAAAGAATATATTAGTACATATCGACTATTGTACGATTTGAAGAGTCTCTCAAACTCTTGATATTCAAACATATTTACGTAGGTACTATTAATACTTAAAGAATAATAAACCATAAACAAAAAGGAAATGATTGTACTCCTGGTAATCTCACTCACACGGTGTAACACAACGCTGTCGTTGTTTCACGCCAGTTTTCTATGCGGCCGTGGTATCGCTTCGGTGGAATCGGCCTATTCATGCCGACGCATGGCTGATCTTTAACTGACACGACTGCCAAACAATGATTTTGTAATAAGTAAAATTTTTGGGTTTAAACTAAAACTATGAAATTAAACTAGGTATCTATCTATAAATATTTCCAAATTAAAAATAATGCAATAATTACATCGATCACTAATAAAGAACTAGATATACAATCCCATACAAAAGTTCGCTTCAAAACTGTCGCCAACTGTATTTAGGTACTTATACTTGAAATAAAAATGCATTAATGTAAATTAAACCTTAAATGCAACTCATAGAGTTGTTTTTACAAAGTGATGTACAAAATCTTAATACTTTTTGCGACCGAAGCTCTTGACAAACACAAATCATAAGAAATTGAACCATATTCGCATGTTTTTAAGTCGAATTTACAAAGTGTCAAAAATAAGCAATAAAATTTAATGACTTCGGCTCACCGCTAGGACAAAGAATGATTGGAGTCGAAATGTCTCGTAAGAAATATATTTCTTTCGTATTTTATAATTTATCAAAAAAAGAAAATACGCAAATTAAAACGCATTACTTATAGTATTCTTTTCTATAGGTTTGTTCATTTATTTACCAATGAAACTAATGCATATAGTTATAATTCTTTTTTTTTATTTTCGTCCTCCTTAATCCTTTCTATTCGAAGTCAAATAAAAAAGATGTAAAATAATAAAAAGAATATATATCTAAAGTAAGTACTGAAAATGTTGGCGTTATTGTTGTCAATTTTTCATATCGAAAGGGTCTTGATGAAAGCTAAAAAAAAATTTCTTTACTGCAGTTAAAATTAAATCCATTACATCTGCCTATTCCATATTTTAATAAACACAGTAAAGAAGTATAATATTAAATAAAAACTATTTTTTAATAAAAAAAACAATAAATAAAATTAGAAACAATAGCGTCTCCACTAAACGGAACAGAATCAATCCACGTAAACCGAACAACTTAAGTGGTCATGCTAGAGAATGATTTTATGTTTAGTATAAGTGTCTTTATAAACTGTGTGCATTATAACCCCGGTTTTTGAATACGATTTCATTTGGAAATAGTGTTAAATTTGATTTCTTAATAAAATATCAATATTTAAAATAGAATGATGACAATTATATAATGATAATATTATTACTTAACGAAAATATGAAATTCCATCCTTTTTTGCATCTTAGATGTGTGTGTTTTTGCAGTTTTTTAACGAGCACTGAGGCGTGTTTACCGTCGGAGCATTCGAGTGGTACTAAACTAAAACTACACCGCGATGTTGAGTTTGGTGGACTTTCAGTTGGGACATTTTTTTGCCACTGATTGTGTATCTAGTTCTTTATTAGTGATCGATGAATAATTATGATAGTGCATTATGTTCAACCTAAGAGTGGGTGTCACAACTTGACATTCTTTGATAATTATGAAAAGCGATATGAAAAATTCATAAGTCTACATTTTAAAGCAAATGTGAATCTGAGATAAAAAAACAATATCATAGTAAGTACCTAGCTATTTAATGAAAATTAATCTAGACAGAAGAATCTAAATAAAATCGCCAAACTAAATTTTACACAGCACTATTTTAGTCGTGTCTGATAAGCTTGTCACTTTCACTTGGGTTGTAAATCGTAACTTGTTTTTGTTTTGATTTTAAACAAAACAAAACTAGAACGAACTAATTTAGCAAGTTCATAACAGAAATCTATAAAAATGTAGTCTCTAATGAGTAAATATTTGGAAGAACATCTTTCAAAATAATTATAACGATGTCCGACATTGATAATTCAATATTTTTCACCGAAACTCCTATTCTGGAGAATTTTTTTTCCGTGTTAGAGCGCGGGGCTGTGAATTACTGCATAGTTTGCTTGAGGACTGAAGATGAAAGATTGTTGCTACAGCCTCAATACTTCTCAGAATTCGCTCCAGCTATAAAGATTGAGAAACATTGGAAGGTATGTAAAAAGTGTTAAAATATATTTTTTTTTTACAATTTTCGTATTAAAACTTCCGATAAATTACAAATTATACACGAGTATCTATTAAATTAAATATTACAACTTTATTTAGGTAGGTACATTATAATTAAATAATTATTCTGTATGAGTACCTACCTATAATAACAAAAGTTTAATCACAAAAACACTCCTTTTCGATTTACGAAATTAAATTTACATATTTTCTTTGTTAATTAGATGTTATTATTATATACCATATTATTACAAAAGGTGAATACATAAAGAATTATTATTATTAAGTATGTATTTACCAATTACGGGACCACAGGGTCCCGGTCATTTGGAAGGCGTACAAGGGGCCGGAGCCAACTGCACAGAGGCCCTTTAGACAAATTTAATCTAAATGAAATAGGACACAAACTGGCGACTATCCCTGCATGCACTATGGAAACGCACCCAAGGACAGTCCGGGGTTAGTGTTGGACTATTGCGGATAATGGAAACAAAGTACAAGGCTATGGGCTGGTATGATGGGAACTATGGAAGGACTATGGCACCTGCCGCAACAATGTAATAAATACACATAAAAATAGCAGGTGAAGACTCGCCAACTCTTCAACCGGCTCCCGGGAATGGTTGCTAGTAATAGCAACAGAGGGACAACAGAAATTTATATTAAAATAATTTTATTTAATACTTTTTGGTAAATTGTTGCACAATGGTCTGCCATTGTGCAACAATTTACCAAAAATTATTAATTATTTTAATGCCAAAGGCTAGTATGATTATAACTGTTGATCTTATCGCAGTCTCTTAGAGACAACCTTCGGTTGACTTAAAGCTATAATATGAGTTTAAATATAGCCAGTACAATATATTTATATTAATAGAAAAGTGTGTAAGTACAAGTGAGAGAGTAACAAACATCCACCCATGTTTGTTACTCTCTCACGTAAACACTACTGAACGGATCTGAATGTAATTTGGCACACAGAAAGATTATAGTAACCTATTACAGTATAGCCTGTACAATTATGACATAGTTTTTTCGTTTTAAACTGTACTATGACTGTTCCAAATCCTCTTCTCACACGGAGAAGGAATGAGCAATAACTACTATGCTTGCTTAGGATATAGGTCCAACAGGTGTCTCTCATGACACTGGTTTTAATTGTGGGATAGCCATGTTTCAGCATGGATTGGACTTTTTGTAATGGGGTAGTTCGGCAAACGAGCCGGCGTATTACTTGATGGCAACAACGGAGGAGTTACGAGTGCGTTGCCGACCTTTTAGAGATTAGGGTTTTGGAGATTTAGGGATCGGGGGAGGGGAAGGATTGGGCGTTGGATGGATATATTCTATATTCTGTACCCCAAAAGGTCGACAACGCACTCGTAATTCCTTTGGTGTTGCGGGTGTCCATGGGCGGCGCTGATTGCTTACCATCAAGTTATCCGTCTGCTCGTTTGCCGACATTATGACATAAAATATATATATGTATATTGAAGATTTTGGAATCTGGTAAGGATTGGTCCTCCGGCTAACCTCACTCATACGACGCAGTGGTTGTTTCACGCCGGTTTTCTGTAAGGTCGTGGTATCACTCCGGTCGAGCCGACCCATTCGTAGAAGCATGGCTCTCCCACACTTGAAACTACAAATATACCAAACTTTTTTACAGCACAATTACATATGTAAATACTGCGAAAGACAAGCGTATCTTGCACTGCGGTTCTTGAAAGCGATTAAGGTGTCGGCTGCAGTGGACACTATATTTGCAGAACTCTTATACCAGAAGAAGAAGAAGGGAGTCAACGTGTTCAGTAGGAGACATTTTAAGAATATATTATGGAGCTGTAATGTGGTAAGTACGTACGTACCTAATTGGGTAGTTTCCTAGGTCAAAAATAAATTAATTTAGTAAGAAAACAAAAGAAAAGAAAACTGTTTTTATTCGGAACGAGACATGAAGGCCAAAAAAAAAATACAACAATAAAAAAAAACAAAACAATAAACGTTTGAAGTTTGAAGGACAACAAAATAAAATAAAAATAAAATTAATCAAAACAATAACGTGAAAACAGCTTAAGAAAGTACAATAATACAACCCTGGGTTGGCGGTTAATTCGACGTTTATAAAATAACATAATGAAAAGTAAGGTACCTACTTTTATTCATCGATCTATCGATATCAAAATTTTTTTCTCTTCTCCTCAAATAATTATTTTCTGATTTATTTCGTTGCGGGACCCAAGACAGTCACTCATAAAGACCTTGTAGTTGTACTGTAGCAATTTTTTTTTAGCTTAAATGTGCGTTATGCCGTTATACAGTTGCTAGCTGGGTAGCTATTTTCTTAAAAGCGTTAACTTTCCTATTGCTAAAATGTACTCTGTGGCGTTAACATACTAAAACCGGTCCAGGCGAGAGGGCTCCCCACGGTAGTGTGTCCTTGTCTGACATCTTGCCAGCTCAACTGACCTTAGGTTGGTAGAAATGGTAGAAAATTAAATATGTATAATTTTTTTTTTTTTTGTTTTAACAAAACAAAGAATTCATAAACTACAAAACGTATAATAAATATATAGTCCTTAGAATTAATAATCGGTTTGTGGTACTATAAGAAAAAACAAATTAATACCGAGTTAACAGTAGTACTTTAATGTTTGTGCTTGGTACCACTTAATACAAGATGGCGGTTCGCTGATTTCGTTGTTTGGTCGTTTGTGGTGTTTCAATTTTGCGATTTTGTAATTTTTCGTTTTCAATGTGTTTGTTTTTCATTTAAATATGGTGAATTTTTGTTGTGTGACAGGGTGCAAGAATGAGTCTTATCCCGGTAGCCGCTTTTCTTTCCACGGGTAAGTAAAAACAACAATCATAACCATTAGGGTAACCATGAATTTTGTTGAGCAAGGATTTTTTTACTATCTCGTAGTAGATAGGCAGAAGATACGACTTACCATTTTCGTGTTTTTTATTTTTTCATTTTAAAGAAGCCCTTAATACTACCTATATACTTATAATACTTACTATAATATTATAAAGAGGTAAAATTTGTAAGTTTGTATGTAGGGGGTAATCTTTGGAACCGCTGGTCGGATTGCCAAAACTCTTTCACTGATAGGTAGCTACAATGTTCCTGAGGCTATAAAACATCACGCTACAATTAAATAATGCTGAGCAGCGGGTGAAACCGCGCGAGAGTAGCTAGTTAATCATACAATTATTATATTGACTATAATATTTCGTTATGCATTTGCTTGGCGCTAGGCGAGGCTTCGCGTTCTGTGTACGCTCTGGCGGTGAAAAGGTTAACTTTGAGATTTATCAGTTACCTGCCAAAACCCAATGATATTATAAGTAAATGGTGTAGATAGGTTACATAAACAACATTCGATTTTCAAAAACGGCACACTGATGCACACATGAACAATTCGTATGATCGCGTGTGAAAAAGAGACAAATATGAAAAAGTGTGTCTAGTTAGCCACATTTCAATGTACATCACTTGCTGAGCGCTTATACCTACACCTTTTTACTTATTATATCATTGGCAAAACCTGACATTTAGATATTTTTCTATGTTATCGTGTCCTACGATTGTGACGATGACTTTATACTTGTTATTAATTATTTTTCTTATATTTTAGATTTCCGAAGAATGAAAACCAGAAATCGAAGTGGCAAAATGTATTACCTGGAAAAATCTCAAAGTCGTCTGTTGTTTGCAGTGAACATTTTAAATGTGACGATTTTTTTCCTGGTTATACCAGAAAAATGCTGAAACCTGATGCTGTTCCGTCAATATTTCCTAAGGTAAGAATTAATCATCCGAGAGTGTGAGTTAATACATTCATTGAGTTCATTCTGAGGTCGAACAGATGGTCCAACATAATTTCGAAAACGCTTCCAACAAATATTCAGATGAAATGAAATCTTTTGCTTTGTCATTGTATTATTATTCAGGTAAAGCCCATTTATTTTTGAGGAATCGTATTCCTTTGAGAGAGTTGCAGGGTGGGGCTCTGCAACTCTGCGAAGAATATTAGCGACGTATAAATGCAACGTGGGGTTTATGACAGAACTGATGAAATTCCTAAAGGTTGCGGCTGGAAAGAATGAAATGATCGTCGCTATGATTTTTGATGCAATGACTATCAAAGCTGGCAAACAATATGATAAAGGGCAGACAAGTATTGGGGTGGTGTTGATTTAGGCGGAATATTAACAAGCGATTCTGAAACATTTGCGACAGATGCCTTAGTATTTCAAATAGTCTCTCTAAAGGAAAAATTTGTTTGCCCTATCGCTTATTTTTTTATAGATAAGATTTCGGCACACGTACAATCTCAGCTCGTCCTGACAGCAATTCGAATGCTTTGCGGCTTAACAATAAACATGTCTGGACTCAGGTCTTCGAAGAAACGAGACGTCACTTGACTGAACTTAAGGTTGACGGGAAAAATATAAAGACCCATAGAAGGAAGACGCCTGTTATTGGTCTGTTTATAGACACATACGGTTTTGCTGAATTAGCAACTGATTTGACATATTACCATACAAAGCCTCGCAAGACCATACTGAATTTTTTTTCATCTGTATGAGCAAGAAGAGGGACAAACGTCAACGCTTTATTAGTTTATCATTATTTTGTGAAAGTTGCTATTTCGTAACAGCGTTAGACCAAGCATCAATGCAAACTCTACAAATTCCGATTATGATAATTCTGCAATACTCGAGTTCCGAAGTGCCAAAAGATCCATCGTGGAAGACGATGATACTACAAAAGAAAATGAGACAGAGGGATGTTCTTATGCTTTTAGTGGACAGAACAGAGTTATCAGACTGTAAAAACAATATATTGTACTACATATCTGGCTACATTGTAATTATAGTAGACAATGAAACAATGAATTTTGCAAATAGGCCAGAAAACGGCACTTTTACACGTCAATTTATATGTGAAAAACTAGATGAAGTCGGCATTTCCTATGTGACTACTCTGAGAAGAAATGCCGAAACAAACTCAGAGGTCAGTCTCTTTTCACTTTTGACAAATTAACATGTCAACATTGGTGAGCCTTGCTCAACGCATCGTACGTACACATAAAGATCATGACTACTTGTTTCACAGCCTTTGTAGAAAGGGGAGGGTTAAAATATGCTTCAAAATTTGTGTAATAAAGTATATAAAAAACTTTTTTTGGTAATGTCTCCTGATGTACATATGTAGCTTGAATATGAAAAAAATCTTAATATGACAGCACATCAATTTCACCCTTAAAATTAAGCACATTGACGAATTCCACGAATTGGAACTGATTAAATTTATTGGTCAAAAATATTAAAGTTTAAGACTTAAAAGCCACGGAAAGACTTTAAGCCTCAAGCATGTAGGAAATAAGGCTACTTACATTACGACAATAATTGCGTATAACTGTACTCATTGTTCAGCAATGTATAAAAATAAATCAAGATGAATAGAAAACCAGTCGTTTTTTTTCGTCCACAATACTGCATCACGTTCATTTGACCTAACATTTATTTAATGATAATCCTCCTCGTCATCTTAGCAAATATTATCCCGGTTGCATATGCTAAGCTTTCACCTAGGAGCTTGCCAAGGTTCGCCGAATACGATCTTGGAGTGGCAAGTTGTTGAGACACCTGCGGCCCGGACTCAGCGTTTTGCCTCGTCATTTATACCGCGTACATCGAGGGATTGGAACAGTTTGCCGGCTGCAGTCTTTCCGTCCGAATACAATTTAGGTGTCTTCAAGGCTAGAGTGAATAGGCTCTTAATAAACTAGTGCGCCTTACCTTCGACGATTGCATCACTGCTTTCACCATCAGGTGGGATCACAGTCAAGCACAAAAAGTCTCATAATTACAGTAAAGCGATAATAACTAGCTCTTACCCGCGGCGTCGCTCCCGTCATTTGACTACCTACCCTACTCTACCTACCCTATCCTATGTCCTTCTCACAGTTCAATTCGTAGGGAGGTAGCTAACCTCCCTACGAATTTTCGCCCAAAATAGTGCAGTCGTCCTTGAATTATAAATAGTGTAACTAACACGACTTTCTTTTATATAGGTATAGATAATAGATATAATTATGTGAATATATGTATATCTCACTTTTGAGAAACATACCTACTTGCCTTTTTTACATGGAGTGAAAGGAATAGGTTGTTGTGAAAAGGAGAAAAAAATACTTTCAACCCTTAACACGTGTAAGATTCTGTAGATAAAAAAAATGTAGATAAGTTTTGGTTTATTGTTTTTTTTTACAAGAAGTTAGGTTGATAAAGTTGCGCTAGTTTGGTAGTATCAGTAGGTATCAGTAGTTATACTTAAATAATTTTTACAAGCAATTTGTCCCGTATTCTGTTTGGTCATGGTCACTACATTAGAAAGGGACACTACGGGGAGCTCTCTCGCGCCGGCCCGGTTTTTGCGCCTTAGTCATTTAGTAGTGATCGATGGCCTTAGTGCACAGTCTTATTTATGGTTTATTTGAAATAAATAATTAGCAGTTAGCCTAGCGCCAATTTTTCTCGCTACGTACCTAAAACACTGTCAAAACTTGGTCAAACAAAACATAATTAATTTTAAAATTTTAAGTGAATTAACTTTTTGCATATTTTTTATGTAATAGTGTGCGATAAACGTGCAGATGGATTACTTGATGGTAAGCAATCAGCGCCGCCCACGGACACCCAAAACAGAGGAGTAACGAGTGCGTTGCCGACCTTTTGGTGATTAGGGATTAGGAGATTTAGGAGGAATTGGGGGAGGGGAAGGATTGGGCCTCCGGTAACCTCACTCACACGGCGATTATAAAACTAAAGTAATGGTATCGATTTCAACTATTAAAACAGTCTGCTTTTCTGTTGTTTTAACTTTTCTTTTGCACTCTTCTTTTTTTTAATCGAGGCACATTCAAAGATGAGTAAATTTTATTTTACGATAGACACACAGGTCCTCATATTTATTTTATTATGGAAACAAATCATTTTAGATGCACAACCTCAAAAAGTTGTGGATGGCTGAATGAGATAGGTACCAACGATTGTCGCGCCCTCTATAATACGGTAGTTTCCAACTAGTCAAATTCAATATTTTTATCCAAATGTCAAAAAAGATACTTTTCTATGAAATTTGTATGAAAAACTGAGCTATGACGTCATAACATTTTTGCGTCAAATAGGTTACTTATTTCTGAATAATGAGCTAAAAAAAATCTAAAACCTAGAGTATCGATCCATCGATGAATAAAAGTATAGTTATTTTTCAATATTTTATTGAATTAAAACGTCGAATTAATTTATTTTTGACCTAGGACACTACCCAATTGACTTTGCCTTAGCCTCCCCATTAGGTAAATTACACACACGATACTTATACAATAGTTTTTACATATATAAGACAATTCGTTGGAATCTCTTAAAAATCTAAATTTATAAATGGGTTGTGTTGCTCTGGTTGGTAGGATTTTGTTTAAGTATTATTTTGTATTTATTGTAAAAATTTAAATATTATATTAAATAAAAAAATCTTTGATATTTCAGAGCAACACAATTTATTATTTTGGTTTTTTAAAAGATTCCAACGAATTGTCTTATAAAACGACATTTCTAGTTAATAAAAGAGTAAAATGGAAAAATTAAGATTTACATTCGCGGTATTAGCCGCAAGTGATGGAAAAACGAATGTAATTTGCATAACCTCAATAGAGACACCTGATGGATGTGTATATGACGTACCTGATGAACAAAAAAATGCAAACAAGCATACAAGTATTACTAGTTGAGAGGTCTATGCAAAAATCAAGAACTCGCTAAAAAAGAGACATCAGACACGAAAAATATGGATCCCGTTGACAGATCAAATACGGAAAATTTACTTGGACGCAGGCGAAAATGTGCAGTTTAATGATCTGTATCTGGAGGAAATTACGGAGGATATCAAACCTTCCAATAACAATTATAAATCTGAATCAGAGCATAAGAACTTCGTAAAAATTGCTGACAAGTTTTTATTAGATAAATTTTCGGGAAGAACGTCAAATGTGAATCAATGGATCGAAGAATTTGAAACTGAATGTGAAAGATTCGAGATACTACAGGATGAAAGTAAAATTGAGATTTTGAAACATCTTCTTGAGAAACAATGTTTAGACTGGTACACGGGTATGTTAATTAAGTTTACCGCTAAGTCAGAATGGAGTATGTGGAAAAATATTTTTTGTGAAACATACGGTAATAAAGGATGGTCTCAGGTAAAATATGCATATATTCATTCAAATATCAAACAGGTAACTTGTTGGAATATGCCACAAAGAAAGAACGCTTATTATTAGAGGTAAACAAAGATATTGACACTGAGACAATGTTAAATCTTATTGTGATGGGTTTACCGGATTATGTCATGAACAAAATTGATAGAACATTAGTAACATCAACTGCAAGACTTTGCAATGAAATTGGCAAACAAGAGTATACAGTTACCAAAAAGAATTTTACCAAATTTACGAAGAATGTGCCTGATAATACATCTAAATTTCAGAAAGAGATTGCATGTAAAATATGTGAAAAATTAAACAAAGGAATCCGTTACCACCCAAAGGAAAAATGTTGGTTTAAACAAACTAATGAATATGAAAACAGAAAAAAATATTTCAAAAATGTAAACAACACTGTGTTGGATATTGAATTAAATGATAATGAACAAAAAAACGAATAATTACACCATTAATTAAAGTCAAACTAACATTAAATGAGAAGGTTGAAATATTTGGTATATATGATTCAGGCTCTAATGTTTCGCTGATAAACTCCAAATTGTTGAATATAAAGAAAAAAAATAAAAGTGATTTCAAAAATGCAAATTTAATAACAATTAATGGTGTAAAAAGGACACAAGGTTTGACGACAATAAAGATAAAAATTTATGTTTTTATAATAACTATCGTGAGACATACTAAATTAACTAAAATTCGCGGGTTACTCACGTGTAAATGATGCTCATGAGGAAGAACCCCTCTGTGGTTCGAAACTAGTAGAGCTTTTCTCATCATTTACACGTGAGTAACCCGCGAATTTTAGTTAATAAAAATTTATAATATAGAAAAAAATGTTGATGTTTACATAGTGGATGGAAGCGAGTTTCAATATGATTTTCTAATTGGACTTGACATCATAAGAGAATTTTATTTGGTTCAAGACCAACACTTAAATATTACTCAGAAACGAGAAGACACATCCACAGATAAAGAACTGATTTGCAGAAATAATTTCAAAGAAGAGGAAAATCAAAATGAGATTTCCATAAATTTCAATGAACATATAACGGAGGAAGATTTTAAAATAAATATGAATAATTTAAATACTCAACAAAAAACAAAAATAAATAAATTGATTGATGAGTACAAATCATGCTTTGCAAAGGATAAATACGACGTTGGAAAGGTACAAAACTACGAAGCTCGGATTGATTTGATAGTTGATAGATACTGTAGCAAGAGGCCTTACAGATGTTCTATAGAGGAAAAACAAGAAATAGAGAAACAAGTGGGAAAATTACTCGAAAGAAACCTAATAGAAGAATATACAGTCCTTTTTCAGCACCTGTTACCCTAGCTTTCAAAAAAGAAGATCAGAAAAAGACAAGGTTGTATATTGATTTTAGAGAACTAAACAAGATAGTATTGCCGCAAGCACAGCCATTTCCATTAATCGAAGATCTGTTGATGAAGACGCGTAACTGCAAATATTTCTCAACATTAGATATAAACTCAGCGTTTTGGTCTATTCCATTACGGATCGAAGACAGAAAAAAAACAGGATTCGTTACTCAGGAAGGACATTTCCAATGGACCTGTTTACCATTCGGCTTGAAGACATCTCCAGCAATTTTTCAGAGAATATTAAGTAATGTACTAAGAAAACATAAATTGTCTGATTTCACAGTAAATTACATAGATGACATACTAGTATTTTCTAAAACTTATGACGAACACATTAACCACTTGAAACAATTACTGGAAGCAATAAAAAATGAAGGATTCAGACTAAAGTTTACAAAATGTACATTTGCTGCAAGTTCTGTAAAATACCTTGGTCATATAATTGAAAATAATACCGTACGACCACTGAGAGACAATTTAATTTCTATAAAGGAGTTTCCGATACCAACATCGCAGAAAAACATCAGACAATTTTTAGGAAAAATAAATTTCTATCATGAGTATATACCAAAATGTACAATAATTTTAAAACCACTACATAATTTACTTAAAAAGAACCAAAAGTTTGTTTGGTCAACAGATTGTCAAAATTCATTTGAAAAAATAAAAGAACTACTATGTTCGCAACCAATTTTAGAAATATATGACCCGAACTTACCAATAAACATTCATACAGACGCATCACTAGAAGGCATTGGAGCAATATTAAAGCAAGTACAGCCAAATGGAAAAGAAAAGCCGGTAGCATATTTCTCAAAAAAATTAAACGAGGCACAGAAGAAGAAGAAAGCTATTTATTTAGAATGCTTGGCCATTAAGGAAGCTGTTAAGTACTGGCAGTATTGGCTCATAGGAAAACCTTTCACTGTGTACTCAGACCATAAACCATTGGAACATATGAATATTAAATCTAGAATAGATGAAGAATTAGGAGAATTAACGTATTATCTCTCCCAATATGACTTCAAGATAAAATATGCTCCTGGGAAAGACAATTTAGAAGCGGACTGTTTAAGCAGGAATCCCGTACTAGAAGCAGTAGACGATAAAGATGAACAATTAAAAATAGTTAACTTACTACAATTACAGGATGTTGTTACGGATCAAGAAAAAAATGAAAGCATACGAATTAATAAGAATAAATTAATACACAGACACAACATTTATTATAAAATAATTAATAAACGAGAGAAAATTATACTATCGGAAGAATTCAGTGTCAGACTTATAGAACAAATACATAACGAAATGTGTCATATAGGTGTAAAGCAGATGCAAAAGATGATTGGAGGAATATATACAGCAAAAAACTTAACAAAGAATATAAATGATTTTTGTAAGAAATGTGAAGTATGTATAAAGAATAAAACAAGAGGACAGGTGAAATATGGTCTAATGTCACACTTAGGTCCTGCTTCAAAACCTTTTGAAATTGTCTCAATAGACACAATTGGAGGCTTCGGCGGCAGACGGTCAACGAAAAGATATCTGCATCTGCTAGTGGATCATTTCACTCGATATGCATATATACTTACCTCGAAAACTCAAAGTGCAAAAGGCTTTATAAAACTTATCAATAACACAAACAGTCATAATGAAATTGGCATGATTCTGAGCGATCAATATCCGGGAATAAACTCAAGAGAATTTAAATCATTTTTGAATAAGTATTCCATTCCATTAATATTCACCGCAGTTAACTCACCATTCTCAAATGGATTAAATGAGAGGCTGAATCAGACACTAGTGAATAAGATCCGATGTAAAATAAATGAAGGTAATAATAAAATAGCATGGACAACGATAGCCCACACCTGTGTAGATAGGTATAACGATACTGTGCATACAGTTACTGGTTTCACTCCAAGATACCTTCTAGAGGGCACAAACGTTTCATTCTTGCCGGAAGAGCTAAAACAATCGCAAACAGCGGAAGACTGGGTGATAGCTAAAAAAATAGCATTTGATAATTCTGTTAGATCACATAATTATAATAAAAAAATAATAGATAAAAATAGAATTCAGCATAATTTCAACACAGGAGATATGGTATATGTTGAGAATGGTCATAAGTTAAATAGAAGCAAATTAGATGAGCTGAGGATTGGTCCTTATAGAATAGAAGAGAAGATATCGAATACTATATACAAAATAAATACGGGTCATAAGAAATTAGAATCCAACTTGTTTCATATCACGAAGCTCATTCCAGTTCCTGTATGAGTGAAGCTGTATCGTGACGAAAATTTTTATGGAAAAATTTTCTACCCGGTGGGGGAAGATATAAAGAAATTACTTAAATTTCTTTAAAGTATTTATGTGTAGTCCATGGTGTGTAGATAAAACAGTTCAAGTTTACACTTGGTTATGTATAGATGGCGCCACTAACATTATGATTGTCAGTGTCATTACTCTGAATAAAGCAGAGGAGGTTTAAATATTATAATAATATGTAATTCAGTAAAAGAGGAATCGACAAACCAATTAATAAACTTTAAATGTCGTTTCTTTGATATTTCAGGTAGGATTTTGTTTAAGTATTATTTTGTATTTATTGTAAAAATTTAAATATTATATTAAATAAAAAAACCTTTGATATTTCAGAGCAACACAATTTATTATTTTGGTTTTTTAAAAGATTCCAACGAATTGTCTTATATACATACAAATAATTTGTTCCGTGAGCTGTATATTCATGGTCACCTCATTAGAAAAGAAAGAAAGAAAGATCATTTATTTCAAACAAATAAAACGAAGGACAAATTAAATGAACATAGAAAATACACTGCAATAGCCTCGCGCACGCAAGTACAAGCCTACAGCGCTTGTTTTCAGCGCTGACCTTCCTGTCCTTGCCTCAGAAATACAACGAGTTCTGAGACAACCCAGGTCACGTTTTGAGGCATACATTAAGTATATTGATAAATTAACATAACATAATTAAACAGAAAGAGGAATACAAGAAACAAGAACTCTCTCGTGCCGCCGAGTTTTTGCGCTATAGAGCACAGTCTAGTTTAAAAGTATCGTATCGTGATGTCACCATTAAAGCCAGCAATCCACCAGCAAGGAGGCTTAATTTGCGTTTTCGTTTATTGACGCTTTTCGAAAATCTATGTTTTTGAAAAGCTGACTTACTAAGAATAACTATCCGGAAAGCTAGTAGGTTTTTTCTATATCATTAGGAGGAGGATTACCTGATGGTAAGCAATCGGCGTCGCCCATGGATAAACGCAACACGGCTGTAGTTATAACAACGCTAAAAAAAGTGGACACATTAGAAATTATTATAGTTTATTTTTTATGTGATAGGTTGGCAAACGAGCCATCGGATTACCTGATGGTAAGCAATCAGCGTCGCCCGCAACGATGGAGGAGTTACGAGTGCGTTGTCGACCTTTTGGGTATTAGGGATTTGGAGATTTTGGGAAAGGAAACGGATTGACCCTCCGGTAACCTCACTCACACGGCGAAACACAACTCTTTGGTTATTTCACGCCGGTTTTCTGTGAGGCCGTGGTATCACTCCGGTCGAGCCGACCCATTCGTGCCGAAGAATGGTTCTCCCACACTTAAAAGTATTGACAAGGTATGTTATATTCTATGTGTAATATAAAACATGTAAAAACACGGTTTGTTCTGTCTTCGCAGGAGAACAAGAGTGCGCCGCCAACATTCTATGAGTACCAGCTACGCAAGATACGCGAGGCGGCTGATTATGCTGCTATCAAACCCATTGTCATCGACAATATTGAGGTGGGACTTCTTTATATTGTAGCGACATCTATCGCACTATATGGCGGCATGGTGGCAATCTATTTCTATTCTACATCGCGCTATAAGAGTTCTCATCGCAAGTAGAACCTATAAAAAAATATCTCTTTCTTTCGAGGCCCAGAAACCGAAGCATAGCGTTCCTTCATTAAAAATGTGTATACCATTTTGTTTTCACCACACGAGAATCTTATAATGGTATGCAATATTTTCACAGGGACTTCCAGTTACAGATCCAATGGGTAAAATAACATATTCAGTAGCCTGTACCCACGGATACAAGTATACGCTTATACGTCCATCTGATAGGGAAGGCCGCCTTAAGAAACGCCCGGGTGGTTCCATGGAACAGGTTGACGTTGAGCCTCGAACTGAAGATACCCTGGACACAATGATGATTCAAGAACCGCTGGTGGACGAGAGACTGATTCTGAAGTAAGTGGATCCTCATCATCGTCAGCCTATAAGTGCCCACTACTGAGCATAAATGAGTCTCTTCACACACGGAGAGGGTTTGAGTATCAATCAACACGCTTGCTCAAAGCCGATTGGCGATTTCGTATCTTAACGCAAGCTCCCTCACGATTAGTCGTGTTTTTACTTTTTACCATATTAAATGCACTTTATAGTTGGCGTGGTGGCCAGGCTACAGGCTCGGTTCGTTTTACCTACAAACTGTGATTTTTGTTGTCATTTGTTCAATTTTATGTTTGTTAAAGCATGCTAGGTGAAAATCTCAACGTTAGTCACAAAGTTTTCTTTTCGTTACATTCTTTACATTGACACTGATACTCTTGTATATATTTTTACAGAGATCCAAACCCAGAAATCACAGCTAGAGAAATATTTCTCGACGATGAAGAAGAAAAGCCAGTAAAAATAAGAAAGATCGATCCCCAGGAATCTTCAGAACGACTTAATATCGCCGTAACTCCTAATGTTATCCCAGGAAATATTACAAATACACCACTCCTAGCTCCGTCCAAGCCAACAATCCCTGTGATATCCAGAATCAATCCTTTAACTCTACAAAAACTTACCGTATCATCTCAAATATGTTCCACCAATTCCGCAAATATATCTCAAAATACGAGTGGTATCTGCCAAAATGATGATAATATCGATAATGACATTCCTATAATGAAACATAAAATTATTAAACTCAGGAGAATACCGCCCGCTGCGGAAAAAATCATTAATCCTGAAAACGCCATTCCTATATTCAAAACTGATCTCGTTAACATTCATACATTCACCACAGCTGCTTCACAAAACTCGTCAACAACGATCACCACATCATCAATCACGTCCAATAACCACCAGAACAACCAAAATATCATTCCTACAACCCAGATCAATGCTAATCCCCAAAATATCAGTTCTTCAACCCGTGTTTATACTCCAAAAAAACCTAAAACAGTAACACAAAACCTCATTAATCCACAAAATATCATTCCTATAATAAACAATAATATCGTTATAAATACGACATCACCACAATTCTTATCTAGATCCCAAAACATACCCATGACAACGCCTGCATCCCAAAATGTCCCGATACCATCCTCAATCGCCTCCAGCTCAATTCAAAGTACTTTGAATCCCCAGAACACCATCTCTTTTCTCCCAAAGATGGCCACTTCTGTCCAAACAACTCTTACTACATCCCCAAAAATTACATCTGTATCCCAAAACGTTCCTAAATCATCACCAATCATTTCAAACTCACATCAAAATATTGTTAATGCCCAAAATATTATTCCTAAATTCCCACATATGACCTCTACAGCCCAAAAGATTCCCATTACGTCCCCACCAGTAACGCCTGCCTCCCAAAATATCCACATCCCCTCCCCAATCATCTCTCGCTCTCGTCAAAATATTCTGGACTTCCAATCTACATTTACTACATTCTCACAAAAGACTTCTAGAGCCCAAACAATCCAAACGACACCTGCCCTCAAAAATATGCCAAAACCGGCCTTATTTTGCTCATCTGCCCAAAATAACATTTCAAAATTTCCAAAAATGATTATTCACACCCCAAATATTCCGGAAAATGTTCCTATCAAACGTGAAATTATTCCAGCAACATCCCAATATCAGTCTATTAGTCCAGAGCCTATCACAATCACATCCCAGCCCCCAATTTCATCACCAGTTGTTGTAGAGATGATGAAAGAACAATCTCCAACGATCGACCCGTTGGAAATATTATTACATACAGCTGTAGAAGTTCATACAGGACTCGGAGTGTTGATGGGGGATAAAAATGGGGATTGTAGCGTCTATCCCATAACAGTGAAGCAAGGAGTGATAAAAGTGCCCTCATTGCAAGCTTACATTAAAGACGGCTTCCTTGTCAGCTATTCCGGTACACCTATCTTACCTCTAGGAAAGAAGCAGACAATTTTAAAGCATATATCAGAAAATATAGCAGGGAATGCAATTAGCCCGTGCCCTTTGGATGTCGCTCGACAACTGACAAATATGCCGCTGCAACATGAGAATGTGAATAGTATGGCAACACCAAAGATTGAATTGCCAGATGAGAAAAAAACTGATTGGGAGGATAAGATACCTATGGGACTTATAGCTTATATGGTAAGTAACTAAGTACTTTTGTATTTGATTTTGTGAATATAGAAAATTCTGGTCTGGTATCTTTCGCTAAAATTGTAACAACTGGTGGAATTTTGTTTTTTTACATTTATTACGTGTACAATTGCTGATACTACTCCACTATTTAATGGATGTATTAATATACATAGAAAACTTCCTCTTCAATCCCTCGCTCCATTAAAAAGACCGAATCAAAATCCGTTGCGCAGTTTTCAAGATTTAAGCATACATAGTTATAAAGGGACAGAGAATGCGACTTTGTTTTATACCATGTAGTAAAGACAGAAATCTAATCCTTTTTGTCTAAAATATGTTGTTATATTGTGTTCAAGGACCCCAAGGACCATAACCGGACGTTGGACCCACAAAAGTCAAAAATACAAGTTCAACTGTCGAAGATATCGCCGAAAGTATGCATGGCATCATCACTTGAATAGAATAAGATACTAAGAGAGACAAAACACTAGAAAGAGTGAGAGAGAAAGAGGGTGGAGTGAGAAGGGCAGCAGAGAGTGTCGTTGCATCGTTTTTCCTCTTTTTTTTTAAGGATAAGGATCAGAGTCACCTTGAATTTATGTACCTGGTATATTAGATATAAGTATGGAATTTTATTGTAAAGTTATTGTAAATATTATAAGTAAGTAGGAATAATGAATAGGGTGACTGGTATAATCCAAACTAATAATATAAATGCGAAAGTAACTCTGTCTGTCTGTCTGTCTGTCTTTTCTTCATGCCTAAACTACTAAACCTATTTGTGTGAAATTTGGTACAGTCATAGTTTGGAACTCGAGAAAGGTCATAGGAAGGTCATAGGATAGTTTTTAAACCAAAAATCTGCAGAAAGTGTGGGAGAGCCATGCTTCGGCACGAATGGGTCGGCTCGACCGGAGTGATACCACGGCCTCACAGAATACCGGCGTGAAACAACCCAGCGTTATGTTTCGCCGTGTGAGTGAGGTTACCAATCCCTCCTCAATCCCTAAATCTCCAAATCCCTAATCCCTTATAGCGGCATACATACATACCTACCTACATTCTATGGCATAACCACCACACCTCATACCTATTACCAGATAACCTTTACCGTACCTCCTTCAAGAACCAGATTACCTTTACCTCCGTAACCAACAAACCAATACCAACGTTTTTGACTTTCTGTGATCAGAAACAGTGAAACAGGCCGCCTTGAAAAAGGCGTTGCAAACGTTTTAGACTTGTGATAGAAATCATTCCAAACCACGACAGCCTCGAGTTTACTAATAAGAAGAAACCCTGCTCTCACTCCGAAATTGGTGACCCTCCCGAAGAAAAAGAACACAAACAAATATCAAGACGGCAAATCCCTGCGAGTCAGAAGAAATATGGCCAGTGAAGAATTCAGCGACGCCCACGGCGTAACGACAGTGAAGAGCGACGTGGCGACAATATCCCTGCCCGCAAGATTGCCACCATTTTGGCGCCAAAATCCGCGCCTATGGTTTGCGCAATTCGAGGCAGCTGTCGCCGCCAGCAAAATAGGAGAAGAGCAGAAATTCAACCTCGTCGTACCATTGCTCGGCAACAACGACCTTGAACAGATCGCCGACATCATACTAAGCCCCCCAGCGTCCGGCAAGTACAGCACACTGAAAGAACGGCTGATCTCCACATACCAAGAGTCTGACCATCGCCAGCTACAAAAACTGCTGAGTGGTCTCGAGCTCGGCAACCAAAAACCGAGCCAGCTACTCCGCAAGATGCGTGACCTCAGCGGCAAACTCCTGTCCGACGAAGCACTTAAAGTGATTTGGCTGAACCAACTGCCAGCCCAAGTACGCGCCGTACTCTCCGTCAACACAGAGTCATCACTCGAGATACTAGCCGCTATGGCTGACAAAATGATGGAGCATTTCGAGCCAGCATCCGTCAACGCAGTCTCCACAGCAACAGTATGTCAAGACAACTTACACATCGCCTTACTATCAAAACAAATAGAAAAAATATCACTCGAAATCGCCGAACTCCGTACCAACCAGCAAAACCACCGACATTCCCCGCGCTTCCCACACCGCAACCGTTCACGCTCCCAATCAAGACCCAGACATCACACGCATAACAATATCAAGCCCGGCGACCCGAATTGGGTGTGTCGCTATCACTACAGATTCGGCGACCAAGCACGCAAATGCGAATCGCCGTGTTCAAAAAAGCAGGAAAACTAGAAAGTACATCGACGTTGGCGGGCGTCGATGTAAACCAAACCAGCCGCCGACTATGTATTATAGACATCAACCTCCGAGAGAAATTTCTTGTCGACACGGGAGCAGATATATCAGTCCTATCAGCAAGAAACAAAAAACATATCAAGCCGGCGAAGACTTCATACAAACTGTTCGCGGCCAACGGCACCGAGATTCGTACCTACGGAGAGCGCACACTCGAGCTCAACCTAGGCTTACGAAGACGATTCAGGTGGACATTCGTCGTGGCCGACGTGAACACGTCTATACTGGGCGCAGACTTCCTAGTACATCACCAACTACTAGTCGACCTGCATCAAAGAAAACTCATAGACCGCATCACAGAACTTAGTGTTAACGCGATCAAGATCAACGGCACCGAGCAAGAAACCGTCTACATGGTCAACCGCGATCACGCTTACCACGACCTACTGAAGAAATATCCCGATGTTCTGCGACCTATGTCATTGAAGACGCCTGTGAAACATGACGTCACTCACCATATCGAGACAACCGGACCGCCTATATACTCACGAGCGCGACCCCTACCGCCCGACAGATACAAGGCGGCAAAACTTGAGTTCGAGCGCATGATCGAGATGGGTATCTGCCGACCCTCTAACAGTCCTTGGGCGAGTCCACTGCACGTCGTCAAGAAGAAAGACGGTTCACTTCGAGTCTGCGGCGACTACAGAAGACTAAACGCTGTAACAGTACCCGATCGCTACCCTATACCACGAATACAAGACTTCACCTACCAACTTTACGGTAAGAAAATATTTTCGAAACTCGACCTCAAGATGGCATACTTTTGGATACCTATCGCTAAAGAAGACGCACAGAAAACAGCAATAATAACTCCGTTTGGCCTCTTCGAATTCAACTGCATGACATTCGGCCTAAGAAACTCAGGACAAACCTTCCAAAGATTTATGCACGAAGTACTACGAGGACTCGACGACATAGTGTTTTGTTTCGTCGACGATCTACTTGTGCACTCGAAAAATCAAGATGAACATCGACGTCACATCGAAATAGTACTCGAACGCCTAAATACCTACGGCGTCAGTCTAAACATCGATAAGTGCGAGTTCGACAAACAAAACATCGAATTTCTTGGGTACGAAGTGTCATCAGAAGGAATCAAACCCACTCAAGACCGAATACAAGCAATAGTTAACTACCCAAAACCTCAAACAATTCAAGACCTAAGAAGATTCCTCGGCATGATTAACTTTTACCGCAGCTGCTTACCCCATCAAGCCGAATACCAACATGAATTAAATAAATACCTACACAACACCAAGAAAAAAGACAAGACTCCGATAACGTGGACACCAGAAGCAGAGCTAGCCTTCGAGAAATGTCGACAAAGCATCCTCGACGCTACTACTCTCACGCACCCGATACATAACGCGCCGCTACGCTTATATACCGACGCCTCAAACTCAAGCATCGGCGCCGTACAGCAACAACAAGTAGACAACGTGTGGAAACCACTCGCATTTTTCTCAAAAACAATGAGCGAGACGCAGCGACGTTACAGTGTGTACGATCGCGAATTATTAGCGATGTACATTTCTGTCAAACACCTTCGTAGGTTAATAGAAGGCAACGACCTTACGATATATACCGACCACAAACCTCTCACCTATGCACTAACAAGATCACCGAGTACCAGCGACACATCACGAAGAGAACGACAACTTCACTTCATTAGTCAGTTTTGTTCAAATATTAAGTACGTACACGATGATAACAACGAAGCGGCCGACGCCTTATCACGCATCGAAGAGATCGACCTAACAGAAACTTCCATCGATTATAATCAACTCGCTGAAGACCAGGAAAACGACTCAGAACTACAGAGATACATGTCACATCCAAACCTTCAGTTCACCAGTATTTCACTACCCGGAGGTCAACGACCGCTTATCTGTGAAACATCGACAGGCAACATTCGTCCGTATTTACCCGCGAAATATCGTTTTGTCGCATTCAAAGCGCAACACGAATTAAGTCACCCAGGCGTGCGTACTACGAGAAAAATAATATCGTCGAAGTTCTTCTGGCCGAACATGAATAAAGAAGTCGGAACATGGGCACGAACATGCATCGGTTGTCAGCGAGCAAAGGTACAGCGGCACACTATCAGCCCGCTCGGCGAGTTCGGAAAATCACAGCGCTTCGAACATATTCACGTCGACATCGTAGGACCACTGCCGCCATCAAACGACTACCGATATCTAGTCACCATGATTGACCGCTGCACAAAATGGCCTGAAGCTATACCAGTACGCGACATCACCGCGGACACAATCGCCAAGGCTATCTACAACGGTTGGATATCGAGATTTGGTTACCCGCTACGACTTACGACCGACCAAGGAAGACAGTTCGAGTCGTCACTGTTTAAGGCGCTTATGAAGAAATGTGGAATAAACAGAATACGCACTACTGCCTTCCACCCTCAAGCCAACGGACAAGTCGAGCGCTGGCACCGAACTTTAAAGTCAGCACTCATGGCGAGATGCGCGCGCACAAACTGGAGCGACGAGTTATCAACTGTGCTACTCGGCCTACGTACAGCATTACGACAAGACAATGAAGTCAGCCCGGCACTCATGACCTACGGTTCAACACTCCGCATACCATCAGATTTCTTCGTGCCTACTCAGCCGAACATCGATGACGCCGAATTCGTCCGTCAGCTGACCGAAACGATGTCTACATTATCGCCGAACAGCAAGCCACACTCAAACTCCACGAGGTCATTTGTACACAAAGACCTTGCTACGTGTACACATGTTTTTGTGCGCAATGACATCGTGCGCAGCCCACTAGTACCTCCCTACGACGGCCCCTACAAAGTACTTCGGCGCGACAGCAAACATTTCACCATACAAATGTATCCACGTACTGCAGTTATTTCAATAGACAGACTCAAACCAGCATATCTACTCAACGAAGACGACACCATATCAACATCAGTTACGCGCCAACAACAAGACAAGATACCTACAACGACTTCGCGCCAACAGCAAGACTATGTACCTACCGCAACTGCGCGCGAACAAACATCGACCTATCTACCTACAACTACGAGTAACGACGCACGGACAATGTCCTTCACCCCACCCCGCGATGCCTACGTCACCCGCACCGGCCGTACAGTGAAACCAAATGTACGCTTCGCTTAGGGGGGAGTGATATAG